GGTAAAGCTGCTTGTTTCCACGAATGTTCTACAATGTTCCACCAATCAATGTTGGTGGATGACCACAATGTTCTCTGCTGGAGTTTGTCCTCACCTTTGGGTCCTTTGCGGCCTATCACCCCAGGGGGACCCTTCAGGCCGGGCAGACCTCTGGACCCCGTGTGACCGGGGAAACCGTTCTCTCCGGTGGGGCCTGGAGGTCCGGGGGGGCCGGGGGGCCCGGGGAGGCCGGAGACGCCTGACTCGGGCCTGCTCAGACTGGCCGCTAGCTGGGCCAGCTGCTCTGTGACACGGGACGAAGAAGGTTACACAGGGTCCGTTAATGGGGTCTCAGGGGGAACGGCAGCTTCTCTTCGCTGGCTCCCAGTCAGACCCAGAACAGAACCCAAAGTTCTGCTCCTCCAAACTCTGAGGGAGCAGATCCATCCCGGCTGGATGGTTCCAGCTGAGCTCTTTGCTCTTAGGCTGAAGGTTCTGGTTCTGGTTCCTGAGTTTTTAAAGCTGAATGGGAGGTAGAGCCTTCAGGAAGCAGATCCACCCCCCTTTGTGGAACCAGTATGGGTTCAGGAAGCAGAACCCCCCTCTGAGGAACCAGTCTGGGTTCAGGAAGCAGAACCCCCATCATGGGGGCTTTCATGATACACCTCTCCTCCCTCTATAGGCCCAGAGTGCTGGGGGGCCTCCCATGATGCACTTCCCCTCCCTCTATAGGCCCAGACAGCTGAGGGGGGTTCCCCATCATGCACCTCTCCTCCTTCTGCTCTCTTTCCTCTCCATGTACGCGGGACATCACAGTGTTTCTTTGGAGTTTTCTCTTTCCGTAGCCTCCTTGTGCATGCCCAGGACGGGGTATTGGGTCAAAGCGATGCTTTAGTGCAACCTGTTGGTTGTCTCAGCAAGGAAATAAACTTCTTTGATTTGGTTCTGTATGAACCAAAATCATTTAAAGTTCATTTAGTTTAATTCTAAATGGTTACGTTGGCTGTTAATGGTGACCTGTCCAGACTTGGACAGGCTTAAGTGCCCTCTGTGACTCAGAATAAGCAGGTATAGAAGGTGAAAGCATCCGTGGACGGAAAGAATTGGATTCTCCATCCATCCATCCATTATCGTAACCACTTATTCCCTAATGGGGTCAAGGGGGAAACTGGAGCCTATCCCATTCGTCAATGGGCGAGAGGCGGGGGCACCCTGGACGGTCCCCCAGTCCATCGCAGGGCCACACAGAGACACACAAGGACCAACAACCACACACTCTCACACTCACTCCTAAGGACAGTTTGGAATCAAACCAAACCAAACATGCAGGTTTTTGGACGGTGGGATGAAGCCGGAGAACCCGGAGAGAACCCACAGACACAGGAGAACATGCAGACTCCACCCAAAAAGGTCCTGGTTCCCCCGGGGACTTGTGCCCAGAATTGGATTCTCATTAACTTGAATTGTACTTTGGAGTGCATTGAGTTAACTTCTGCTGTGATTTGGTTCTTAACAGGGAATTTTTTTTTTTAAATTTCAGTCATGACGTGTAAGTTCCTACACATGACGATGAGCAGTCAGCTTACCTTGCATTACCCTCATGCAGACCTGCTTGATGTGAGTATCTTTGGGTGATTTCCCCTGTAATAAACAAAGATTTTACATGTACTTGGCTCTCCATATTCAGAGGTGATAACAGTCAGAGGGGCCCATAAAAAGAATCCAACATACAGCACTGAAGTGAGCAAAGTCTGTGATCCCACTTCAGAACATTTTCTGTACTTAAATAACATAAATAACTCTGGGCCGGGTGCATTAGGCCCGAAAATAGCCTTTTACAAACATGAGATTTCATTGCTGAATCAAGAAGTTGCTCTGGATAAAAGTGTATGATACATAAAAAGGTGGAATTTACAAAAACATCTATTACAACTTTGTTACTTGTTTGCTTTGTTCTCTTGGATACTTGGGTGAAGCTCCTCTAGAACATTTTTCAGATTTACCCAAAGGAGCAGCATGAAATGAGCACAAACAACCTGTCGCCCCACCCACAAGGTGCATTGCTCCATCTTCAGAGACAGTGTTTGCTTCCCTGATGCTGCCTGAGTTGTGGATTCCAGCTGAAAGGGAAAACCTCTCTGCTCTCTCTGGCTGCTGTACAGTAGATGTCTCATACATTTACAAAATGACTTTTTCTGTTCTTAATCGTAAACTCATGACTTAATCACAGCTCATGACTAGGCTTGGACATTGTCTCCAAGTTTAATCCAGGTTAGAACAAACATTTTGGCCTCCAGGAAACGTGCTTCTCCTGCAGACTGTGTTAGGGCTAGGGTGAGGCTAGGTTTTAGTTTTTAGTTTTGCTACTGGTCAGTATTCAAGTTCTGTCCCTCTGTGGTTGAATGGGCCAAGGATGGATACCTGAGCACCACGCCTGAGTTTTAAGCTTCAGAGACTTTCTTACATCATTCATTTTGAGGTTGTGGCCTGAAAAGTTTGGGAACCCCTGCTTAAAAGTGCCACCATAGTGGTGATTGCTTCAAATGACCCCAAGAGGGCCTGATTGAGGAGGTCCCACTCCTCACCGCTGGTCCCTGTCCTCCTGGGAGTCCCGGCACACCCGTGTCTCCCTGCATGCCTCGTGGTCCCGGCTGGCCCGGCTTGCCCTCTTTGCCCGGCAGTCCTCGCCCCCCCTCGGGTCCTTTGCTTCCCGTCTCTCCTGGCGGGCCTGACTGCGAGCAACGACAGCATCCAAAACACTGAACGGCAGCTACCAACAGGAAGAAGGTGGCATTGAAACGTGTCTTCGCAAACTCAAGGATAGCGATGAGATTCTGATCAGGGACGCGTACCGATCCTTTCTCTCCAGGTTCTCCTTGATCCCCCTGAAATGCAAAAGATATGAAAGACACATTTACAGAAAATCGAGTCTAAAGATATATCTACATGGTTTTGTCGTGTTTTATAAGTAAGAACTGAATTACAGCCCTCCTGATAACTGATTGGTTGCTTCCCTCTTGGAGGGTGAATCCTGCTGTCAACAGGTGTCACTCACCAGATCTCCGCTATCTCCTGGTGTTCCTTCAGCACCTGCAGGTCCCTAAAAAAAGACAGATTTTTGTCCTTTTATCTGATCCAATCTGCCTGATGGTCAGGAAATTGATAATACGACAACATATCAAGAATACCTGATCACCCTTCGGACCATCAAGACCAACTGCGCCCTGAGGGAAGTAGAGCACAATTATTATGGCAACACGAAAAGCTGTTACGGAAAACAGTTAAATCATTAATAGCGGCTGAATAAATCAATGAAAGCTACTGTTTAGTTCCACCCGACTAAAGTCCATAGGGAAAAAAACAACTAAGTTTGACTATCTCGAGTTTTGGAAGCACGTAAGGGTGTGTTTTAGACAAAAAAAAGTTTCTCTTTCTCCATTGCAAACGTAATGAAGTGCAGTTCTCATGATTCCGTTAAAGGCTGAGCCAAAAAAGCTCTCAGTGAGTCGAATCAAAGGATTTACGGCCTGTGATGGCAACACTCACCATGATTCTGACATGTGTTTGGACGAGCCCGTTCAACACTCGCTTGTGTTGTGATTCGTGAGATGATTTGTCAGAAATCGTTTTTTCATGCCACGTACCCTGTCTCCTTTCACACCTCGGTATCCTGCTGGACCAGGAAGTCCTGGAAGGCCCGGATTCCCTTTGCTCCCCTATCAAAACGCCCCCACACAGACATGAAGTACAGCATTAAAGCCCGTTCAGAGCCACGACACACAGACACGACTGTGGAGTCTGGAAGGGGAAACTTCCCCCACCATAACCTGACTATACCAACAAAAATAAATAAAAACAGCCGATGGTGGACTACCCCCAACCCCCCCCCCAGGTCCCCACCCCACCTCTCTCAGATGTGTCAGGGTGTATGTGGGTAAGTAAGTGGGCATTCCTGAGGAACAGAGATTTCATTCAGGGCTTCTCAGCTTCTTTTCCTGCCCTGAATCCCCCCTGAGCTGCAGCAAAAAAACAACTTTTTTAACAAGAGCCCATTCATGCCCACTAACCAGTGGTTTGGAGACTTAACTGCAAGAACAGAGGTTCTTACAGCCCTGCAACAAAAGCACAAAGCGTGCACTCTAGCAATAGGTACAAGGGGAAAAAAACCCAAGCCTAGGTCAGCTGTTCCTGCTGTTGAACTGTGGATTCTGGATAGTACGGCAAGTCGCTCCCCAGAAAGTGATGCACACTGGCAATGGAGTTATCGTCGGCTTTTCCCGTCAGGGGTCCCCACAATCAGAACAACGTGTCCCGTTTGAGGCCGGTCGCAGGCAACTGGGGGTTCAACGCCTTGTCCGTAATAGAATCATGGACCCACCCTTCTCACCGACCAAACTGTTCTCATCCCTGATCCAGAGCCACCAGTTCAGTTAGACCTTTTTCTATTGGATGAAAATGTTGGAATTTTTTTTGGGGCTAATGGAATTGTCTCAATATGTTTTTAGCCTTCATTTTGCTTTCATGCATCTCCATCTATTCATGCTGCATTATGAGCTCCTTTTTGTTTTCTCTCAGGTTTAATTAGCTCTCCATTGGAGTAGTACTTTAAACCTTTGGTTTTTCTGGTTCCAGGAGGAGGCTTAATAGTTATACACACGAACAGAGACTCAGCTGACTTTGTGCCAGTTATAAATTTACATTTATATTATTTGAGTTTATGAACTGGTAAATTCTTCACGAAGAAAAATGTTCTTTACTACATCTGACCATTTCTGGCCAACTTCAGCGTCAAATGACTGTTTACCACAGCTTAAATAACTACAGCGTTTTGTAGTCAGAACAACCTTCCTTTGAGAAGTTTAATCCCCGAAGAGGCTTTTTAGTTTTACCCCGTCGGTCTGAAATCATTCCTTCCGTCTGTTTATATCTGGAAGAACATCAGATCTCAATCTTATGAACAGAATGATCTTCATCGGTGCCATCCCAGTAATGTCAGGAGATTGACGTGGCCACCTGTGTAATATCTGTGGGAAAACTTACAAGTAAACCCAAAGTTTATTTCTCTCAGGTCTTACCCTGGCTCCTGGTAATCCTGGAGGCCCATCATGTCCTCTCTCTCCACGTTCACCCTGAAATGTGCAGAGATTGTATTACATCTGATCACAGAGTTCCTATAAGACTGTTACACAAAAGTATTTTTGAGGTATGATGTAGTAAATTATATCATTACATAAAACATGCAGTTACATATTAGATATTCCTTTATGGTTTTATGAGCTTTTTCTTCTATTAAATGGTTTCTATAAGAGAAAAGATTCCTAGAATCCTCCCCACTACTATCACTGAGCCATCAGTGAGTCCAGCAGTTGAAGAAGCATCTTTAGAACCTGAGTGTTTCTGTCCAGTCCATCTCTGTGCTAACAAAAATACCTTCTTCTTTACTACCACCTTGTGTTTTAGACCCAATTCCAACCATACTTTTCAAGGACGTTTTCCTCTTCACACTACAAAATTGGTTTTGATCGTTATGTCTTTGTTGATTGGCTGTGTACCACAAAGGTTTCTTCTTACTTAAAACCTATTCTTGATACTTGAATGTTATCCTCATATCGGTTTATCTCAAAAGTCCCTTATATTTCTAAAGAGAATTGTAGAAGCGTTTGACAGATTGCAGATTGTTCATGTAAATGAGGAATATTCCTCCCCAAAACAGAGTAAGTGGAGTTCCCAGGGTTCTGTGCCAAGACCGGTTCTTTTCCCTTTATACTTTTTCCTTTTGGTAACATTATCAGACAGCAGGGCATGAATTTCCACTGTTATGCTGATGATCTTTTGTTATACTTATCTGTGAAACCGGGTTTAAAAAACCAGCTTTTCAGACTTCAAAACAATGTAAAGTAAGCTCGTCAAGTCTAAAGATTTTTTGTCTCTAAATACAAAAACCCAGATGTTTGGGGCTTGGACCTGAGTGCTTCATTAAAACCCTGTCTAGCTTTATAGACTGATATAAGTAAAATTATATCATTTTCATTGGAATATAACTAACTGGATTTGTATTGAACACATTTACTTTGGTGAACTTTACTTTCTCTGAAGTGCATTAAATCCGCCTATGTTTTTTGGAATGAATTCAAAAACTGACTTATTCATTCATTCACTTCAGTCTTATGCTCTTGCATTGATGTGTGGACATATTTCATAATGGAACCAGGAACAACAATCAGCCTGCTCCACAGAAAACAGAATCAGTCAGGACATTTCAGTCGGGTCAACCAGAATTACATGAGTCACTATATAGAGCTGGTCAATGGTCAAGAAACATCAGTCTGTTCGTTTGTTTGAACACGGTCTAGATTTCAAATATCAAAGAAATACCAAATTCTATTGGGTCCATTGCCCAGTAGATACACCATGCAGACAGTGCTGGCTATTATGGAGCTGGGTGTAAGTGTATCTGGAAACCAGACAGGATGCACACGGGAACTATGTTTAATGTTTTAACTGTAATGCGAGTTTGCAGATTCAGTCTCCTGCAAACTCCAGAATGGAACTCCACATGCAATGGAAATTGATGAGTCAGTTTTTGGGTGATTTGCTTTGAAGAATCTGGACCATCTCTTTGGGTAGGAGTTGGGGTTATTTGTCATGTTCTTTGTCATCATCATCTTGAAGGCTTTTTTCTTACTATTGATATACAAATGTCCATTTCAGTTTATATGTGATTTTATGCAGTTTTTTAATATGGAAATGGATATGATTTTTTTCTTTGATATTACAAATCTTTGACAACAGTTTAAAGTTGATTTAACCACCAGTAAACTTCTTTTTATTGAATGCCCTTTAAAGGATTACGGATTGAAAGTAAAAAAGTAAAGCATAAGAATTTCAGAGACTCACAGGTCCTCCTCTGGGTCCAACCGGTCCCACCTCTCCCTGGTCGCCTCGCTCGCCCTGGAATAAAGCGCCAGAGCAAAGATCAGAAGGAAGTTTTTCATAATCCGATTGCGACAAAGCCATTTTTTTGTTTTTTTAGATATTTCCTGATGTGCTTTTCTGAATGTTTACATGCAGAACTGATTACAATGTACTCAATGGATGGGTTGGACCTCGCTTTAAACATACTTGCTTCCCAGATGACCCCATCAATCCTACAACTCCTGGGTCTCCTGTGTTACCCTGGTGACAGGGAGAGAGAGAAAAGCATCTGAACCTGAAATTAACGGCTGGGAAACTCATAGTCTCTTAATTGCTGGACATACGGGATCATACCTTTGCTCCACTGTGTCCCTTTTGGCCGTATGTACCAGGTAAACCCTGCGTGGACGAAACAATACCAAACATCAAACCCTGTGACCGCGACCAAGCTGTTTTTGATCAATCGGGAGGTCAGCGCTCACTCACAGGAAGTCCTTGAGGACCAGCATCCCCTGGAGCGCCACTTTTTCCTGGAAGACCCTAAAAAAAGATTATACAAAATGTAAATTGGTATATGAATATGTGCTGGTGTGATGGTAGGGCCTCCACTTTTGTTCAGCTCTCAGGACAGCTCCAAACTAAACACTACAAACTAGCTGAAAAAGCACTGCTTTTGGACCAGTCATGAAATGATTCAATGCAAAAATCAGTTACCTTGGACCCAGGTAACCCCGGTATTCCCTCACGAGCATCTGGACCAGGAAGGCCCTGTAGACAAAAAGGAGTGCGATGAGATGTTTCATCAAAATTTCATACAGTACGGTGTAAAACAGTAGCCCAGTCAAGGTGGGGGCTTCTGACAGATAAAGCTTTATTGAGAAAAGTGCTATATTGGAAGTTTAGGGTCCTACGAAAAATGTCTTTTTACAGATTTAATCTTGTTCTATCAGGTGTATTTATATGAGTCTAAAGGTAGGAATATGGACAAGAAGGCAAAAGGTGGTTTGGATGGAGGTATGAACAGAAACCATGAGGATCACCTCAGCATAGGTTGCACAGTATTATAGTTATGTTTTATTTAAAATTTAACTTATTTTAGCTTTAATAAGATCAAATGGAGCTCACTGGCTCTCCTTTGGGTCCTGGCACCCCTCTGATTCCGGTTGGTCCTCGGTCACCCTAAAATGACAAACGTGAACGAGATCAAGGTGGGACTTTTAAAAAAAGGGGTCATGCAAATAAAGTCAAAACCCCCTTGTAAATGAACAATCTTAAACTGTGACGTAATTCGGGAGACACAGAGACAGCAGTAATAAGGAGAATGGTGCTTCTTACAAAATTCACAAAACCAATCAGACAAAATCTATTCAAGGGGAACAATTTATGGCAAGTCTAGAGTTTTGATGATGTGAACTTTATATATAGTATTTTCGTCTAAATGTTTTCTTACCTGTACTCCCCTCGGCCCCAGCTCCCCAATGGCTCCCCTCTGACCTGGATCCCCCTGAAAAACATCCGAATTGTTCAGCATTTTGTCAAATTAACTAAAAGCACAACGGCATAGAGAATAAAGCCACGCGGTCACTCACTGGCCCTCCCTGGACTCCCGGGCCACCCACATCACCAAACTTTCCTCGAACTCCCTGTTTGGGGAAAAAAAAACACTGAATAAAACTTTCATTTTAGATTAAAAAGACCTGCCTCTGCTTGTAAATTAAAGAGAATAATACTTTTTATTGGAGACTGATGTAATATTGCTCCATCCACTTTAGTTTTGTTCATGCTAATTAAGAAAAGTAGTGGATGAAACCTACCCTGTCACCTTTGGAGCCCATAATTCCTGGGAGGCCTCTCAGTCCACCTGGACCCTAAAATCACCCAGGAGATCAGCATTAGTCATTAAGTTTGTTCTCTGTATTTTCAGTTCCTGTGTGTTTTTTGTTTGTTTGTGTGCTAAAATGATAAAAACATATTACTGGCAACCCTTGGGCTCCAACATCCCCAGGGGGTCCTTGTTCACCCTCTTCTCCCTGTTGCAGAATATAGAAACGTTTTAATAAAAATTCAGGCGTTTTCATGTTTTTTTTTTAATCTGTTGTTTACCTTGTGGCCTTGTCTTCCGGGCTCCCCCGATTCTCCCTTAACCCCTTTGTGGCCCTTTGGACGAAAAAAAAAAAATCAAACATCATTGAGGAGAAGCTGAAAGCAAACCCAGACAGGGGATAGCGGTAGTGGCCGCTGAGGTGAGCTCACTTTCATGCCGGGGAGTCCAGAGTACCCGTTTAGGCCGGAGGGACAGGCGTTGGGACACTGAAAAACACGACAGCCTATTTGAGGTCATTGAAAAGCCCCGCGGCCTGTGGACTCCACTGTCTGTGAGACCGGCACAAGCAAAACCATTTACAAAGCAAGGGCCAAGAGTGTGTGTTTTACTTTCAGCAAACATGATATTGTGTTTCCTGATGTTTCCATTTATTGTTGGAAAGGGAGCAAAAACGGAGCTCAAACACTTCAAACCTGAAAGGTTTGTCCTTCTTATGTTTGAACTTGGAATTTTAAACATGAAAGATGCCAGAAATGAGATTTGATCAATAAATGCTGTATTTGGCACCAAAAATATGTGACAGTTTGACAGAAATAAGGGTAGTTTGAACTGACGTCATGGACATGATTACTTAAATGTGAGGCTAACTTTATGCAAAAACGTCAAAGTTTCAAAGCTTTTTTTTTCATGTTTGAGACTGATGTGAAAAAAAAAACGTATAAATGTTGAAACTGAATGGATTTTTATGCTTACATCTTCCCAACCAATTCATTCAATCTGCAAACTTTTTTATGGACAATTCAGTTCTGGATTCATTCTTTGAAATCAATCTATGTGCAACCGTGCCTTCTGGTCACCAACAAGGAAAACAGAAATGCACTGCTCAAAAAATAATGGAAACACATAATCATTACGGTGTAACTCAAATTCTGTCAAAGTTGTTGGATATCAATCCATCTGGTTAGCAAGTAACAATAATAGATACAGAACACACAACAGGTGGAAATGAGAGAAAAACTCTATAAAAAACTGACTTTTCACTTTACTTTTAGTATGATTCTGTTTCCAGACCTCCACCGGTTCATGATTTTGATTTCCATTGATCATTGTTATTTTGTTCTCAACACACTGTACTATGTAGTGGAGATTTTTTTTTAACTGGACGATTTCATTCATCAAGTTCTAACTGTTCCCTGTATTTCAATCAGCAGTGTAAATGGTGTTTGCTGTGGGTGTGATTATGCTACTTACCAGCTCCTCGCCCTGATAAACAGCCGGAGGTCCCTTTGAAAAAAAAGTGGATAGAATTTATCCATACACATTTCATGAGAGAACATTTATCCCCAAGATAAACTGACAACAAATAAGTCTATGAATAGACTAAAATCATAGATTAAAAAAAAGAAACCATGAAGAAAATGATCAGTTGAAAAATTCTATTACTGAGACTCTTAACTGATTTCTGTGATCATTTCTGGAGTAACATTGGGGGAAAAAATCCTTACCCGAGGCCCGGCAGGACCAGGAAGACCAACTTGACCTCTCTTGCCTTTTGCTCCCTGTGAAAAATGACCAGTGTTTGAATCCATCAGTGAATCGTTTACGTTTTATAGCCACTAATGAGTAACATCTTATATCGTCTTACATGTTCTTACAAGAAAATCAAATATCTCACAACATAACCAACTTATTTAAAAAAAAATCTGTGACAAGCTGATGGATTGGTGTTTATAGTCTGGCACTCACAGGGGGTCCGACTTTCCCCAGTTCACCCGGTAACCCGTCTGTACCAGGAATGCCCTGTTAAGAGAGGAGACATCTTGTTACTGTTGCATTGCCTCTGATAATGAATTCTTCTTACACAAATCCTCTCTGTCAAAGAGGAACCAGCATACGGAGGCTAACACTTGTCTGCGTTTTACATAACTATGTCAGATGGGTTACTTGAGTAGACCACCTCGTCCCCCCATGGCTGGGAGGCCATGTTCTTTTTCCCGTTTTTTTATTTCCCTGTTAGAAATACCAGTGCAGTTACAGCTCTAGTCCAGCTCCATGTTCTGAGAGCTTATTTCAACAGATGCTGCAAAGATAATCTGGTTTTTGGAAAGACTATTTGACCAAATTTGACATGTAGTCTTGATGAGCTGGGGGCTGTTCTACAACTGGACCCCTTTAACGTTTGCTACAAATTGGAAGTTCGGGAATTTTAGATGGTACCCACTGATGGTTCCTACTCCCCAATGAGAATTCCTATCAGCTTCTATAACCTCAGACTGCTGTGACTCCTAATAGTTGGTAAGGTTCTTATTAGTATATCATTAAATCTCACACCACTATCATGAAAACGTTCATCTTTTCTTTCGTTTTTTTTGTAGTTCTTTGATCCCAGGCAAACAAACACATATTATACAGGTAAAGATGAGGTACTCACATCAAGGCCATCAGCACCCACACCCTGTAAGTGAGAAGAACTTTATCTTAGAAGGACTCAGCAGAGGAAATCAGTCAGGAGAACGTTCAGGAAAAGATCGTTTGCTTCGTGATGCTGCTTTGCAGATTTAAAATCAGTATGTTTGGTCGTGTAAATGAAGTTTTAGCCTAAACAGCATGATGCGTATTAACTGTAAGTTGTTTTTGTCATCTGTGACCAAAGTTAATCAGATATATCAAATGTGAAAATTGCATGGTTGATATGTGCACTTACAGGCTCTCCCGGAGGACCGCGAGCCCCAATATCCCCCTAAAACCCAAGGAGAAATAGAATCTGATATCAGAAATGTGACAGGGTAAAGAAAGGCATGTAAATAGTGGGGGCTTGTTTCCCTCCGTTCCTCCACACCTGGCTGTAGAAGACCACCTGCAAGCTAGTTCGATTACCTCCAGCAAACATGATAAACTTACCTTTGGCCCTTTGGGGCCATCTGGACCTGGATCCCCAACAGGTCCCACAGGTCCCTGCAAAGACAGCACAAGGTTCACTGACCATCATAAATGTCCCCATAAATGAGAACCACAACCACTAAATTTGAACTTGAAAAAAACATTGCACCTGGGTGAGCTAAAAATGCAAAGATTGGACATGATTTCAGCATCATGAATGTTACTTTTGACTCAGAAGTGGCATAAAACACGGCTACTGAAAACATGACAGTGAATTGGAAGTCATGTTTTAAGATGGAACTGTATAAATCCGGTTGCTTTTCATTGGGTAATACTTAAACCCCAAAGGGACGGATACATTGCTGCTGGATCAGTTTTTCGTGAAGATGTGCTTTAGTTAAGACAAAAGATGACTCAGCTAACAAATGAGGAAGCTTTGGCTTCAGGGGTCGCCATGACTTGGATGGTTTGTGTTTTGCAATCCACCATTAATGCGTTCCATGTCTTAAAGTCCAACTCTAAGACCAAATCCGAGCCCTTTTTACGCATTAAGAATAAGAACAGGAAGTTGAACAACACCTATGCCAACACTTATAAATATGAATGATGTTTTTTTTTCTTGTATTCATCCCTTCTGATAAGGTAGAGGAGATTGTTGCGATTTTTTTTATCCATCAGTTTCTTCTTCCATAGTCTTTTTTCATTAATAAACCCAAAACAGACTAACAAATAGACACGGACCAAACACATGAGCAAAGGAACCAAAGAAAACCGTGACCAGATGCTTGTCCAGATCTTCTACTGATTACCTCCGTCTCACTGTTAAAGGCAGAAATGAGCAGAGTCTGGGCACCTTCTCTATAAAACTGTCAACGTGCTCTATTTCCTTACTTTTCCAAAAAGTATGAAAACTATCACTCTGTTATTTGACTGTTACAGAGTAAAGGCTGCAAACTGAAGTGGAGCTCATACGTGTCTTTCCGGTCCAGTCTGTGTCAGACCGTGGGTTAGTCTCCTCAGCACCTCCACCAGAGTGGACAGCAAACTCTGCATACGCTCGGCCTTCTCCCAGCAGCCCGTTTCCCTCCCTCCCTCCCTTTGGTCGCGCACAAAAAGACCCCTGTTTCTGTCAGGAAGCTCTTTGAAACTCCCTTAAATTGCCAGATTGATTTATTCAAGGAAACCTTTTCTCCTTCGACGTTTTTGCCAACTGGGAGCCAAGACAAACTGTCTAGCCTTCCTGCTCAGATGATGTATCACATCTGTTTTAGACGTAGGGCTTATCTTCTGGATCATGTAAAAGTGTGTCAAGGAGCTTGACTAAACACACATAGCTCTGTAGCCGAAGTTCTACTCATTTATGTGGACGTTTCGTTTTACTTACATCGGCCCCTGGAAGGCCTGCAGCTCCAGGAACCCCATCTTTGCCATTGTCTCCATCAAATCCCTGGAAGCAGACAATTCAACACCCATTTAAGATATTAATCCACTAATTTAACATCCATTGTTGGGTTTTTCATAAGTTATGAGAAATAAAAAGCAGACTCACTGGGGCACCGGTCACTGTGGAGTCTTCTCCTCTGTCCCCCTGAGAGGAAATGAAGGGGTTTATCATTAAATCTGGGATTAATTCACTGTCTAATCAAGACATTTGTTAAAGGTGTGTCTTATGACCAAAGACGATTTGTTCTGACTGTGTTCTGGATCTGTAAGTCAAACTAAAATTAAAATATTAAGATGAGGTGCAGTTGGCATCCATGTGTATTCAAATAGTTTCTGGCATCCTTGTGGTGGCTAGCGATAAAAGGTACTCGTAAAGTAAAAAACATTTGTCCAGAAACAGCGTTTAAAGGCATGTTGCTATCTGACTTTGTTTGAATGGTGCCTAAACCTTGAACACTGTGGACAAAACTCAGGAGTTACAACCCTGTACTGGCAAAAGCTGTTTGAAAAGGATGGTTTAGAACCTCCAAAAGGACAACATATGCTGCGGAAGAGTGCAATTACAATTTGTGATTTAGAAGAGCATCATTATCTGAAGAGCTGCCGCCTGGGCTCACAGTTCTCAGAAAGGAATGAGCCACCGGACCTCAGGTGGCAAATGATAAACATCTGACAACGAGCTCTTATGGAAGAGAGAAAACCATGTAGACTCACATCGATTCCATCCACTCCTGGCACACCGGCGATGCCAGGTGGTCCTGGGGGGCCTCTGGGACCAACCGGGCCCCTCTAAAACAAATAGAAATCAGTTTCCTGCTTTTTCGGCCGGGGTACATCTCCAAATATCAGCGCGGCGCTGCTGTAGCTGCTCGGAGGCACACAGGGAGCCATTGTCTGCTGATGTGGGGGGGGGGGAGGCCATCAAAACATACCTGGTTTCTCATTACATTTTCATTACAGCCCGACGGACTGCCTGCGTTCACATTGCTGCTGTTGTATGAACACTATTTCTGATGGGTGGGAAGCTTTTCAGATGAACATCAAAACTTTTTTAGACATATATATGTATGTATAAATAATCTATATAGGTGGAGGATAAAAATACAAAATAAATTACCTCACTATTTTTCTTAAGTACTCACAAAGTAACATCACCACAATGAGTACGGGCACTTTTAGATATAGTAGAAATGGCAAAATATAAAGCATATAGCATGCACAATCTGTTTTAACTAGACTCTATAAGAAAAAAAAAATACAATGGCCTAAATTCAACTCACATCATTTTTGAGCTGCACTGACAAGTTCAAACTACCTACAAAAAGGCTAAATGAACCAAGAAGGACATTCATAATATATGAGAAAAGGGTAGATGTAAATCTACAAACTCATTATACATACAATTTCCCTTGTTAAACCAAAGACCATGACATAAAAGCCAGAAAAGTTCAATAAATCTGCTACATATCGACAGTGAGCACTTCATCATGTTCTAACAAAAAAAAAGGAGAGAAAAAAGCAACACCTATCTCTCACCTGGGCTGAGCAAATCAGGACAATCTGCAGTAAAAGCACCAGCAGAGACTCCCGGCAGATGTTGAGGAAAGCCATGGTCGTCCGAAAGACCCTGGAAGACACTAAAATCCCTTTTCCCCAGGTTATGCAGGGCTCTCGGACGGTCCACCTGCCAGCTTCCCCCCCGACTGAAACCCCGCCGCCTGCTGGAGCTGGAGGATGTGAGAGAGTCCCGATTATCCCTAACAGGGTGAAGTTGTGTAGACTGATCCATGGAGGAGGGGTTCTCTGTACTCACAGGGTGGGGTATGTTAGCCTTCAATTTGAAAGTTTAAATCTAAAAAGAATTTTTGAAAATCCACTCAAGATGGGACCGTTATTACAACCGCTTGTGATAATCTGCTTTTTTAGCTTGTGTGAATGCTCATGGCTCAAGTAATTAGAGTTAAACACACAAGGTTAGCAAAAATACACACATATCTAAGCCTGATAAATTGGTTTAAATGGCCACAAAGGCAGATAGAGTTTTGATAAATCAATGCAAAAGCAACTAGAGAACAACACTCTTTAACTTGATCTGGAGCATGTTCTAGCTACCATTTTTACAACCTTGACAGTTTCCAAGTTCATCACTGGGTGTCCCTGGCTCTCCACCTTATTTACACCATAAGATTCCACTGAATAAAAAAAACAAACAATTCAGAGGCAATTCCATTTTGTTAGGAATTAATGGCATACATGCATACTTCTCATGATTATCTAAAATGTTGTGTTTACACTGAATTTACATTAATTTATATTAACAATAATTATAATATGGCACCAGAGAAGCTCTTTTCTTAATAAGCAGATGTTTGAAACTCATCTTGCAAATCCGAAGCTTTTATTCAATTGTTGTTCATCTAATTTTTTTTAATTTAATTTGTTTTTTTCGCTGTTGTGTGCTGGGGCTCCAGTAGATGGTGGTAACGCCGTGACTTTCCGACAGTTTTAGAACACAACGAAGAAGAAGAAGAAAACCGGAAGTCTACCGGAAACGCACATACAGGCGTCAGTTTTAAAGCTTGTTAACGGCCGTTGTCTTGGTGCTGTTTCTCAACAGGTAAAGAAGACATTACTAACATTATCACAAATATGGTTTATAAAGCTCAATGTATTTGCTTGTTAGGCTGACCATAACAAGAAAAAGGTCTATGTGCAAGGGAGAGCGGACTTTATTCAGGACTGTGTTATTCATACATGTTTAGCTGCAAAACGTTAGCCTAGCATACCAATTGTTAAGGCAGGGTTAGTTAGGGGAAACAATTTTTTTTGGATTTGATGGATTAATAAGAATATTACCGCGAAGATAACACAAAGGTAAGGATATAACTTAAAGTACGGCAAGCCTAGTGTTTCAGTTAATTCATGAAAACAGGAAAAGCATCCATAAATCCGCATAATTTCGTGTTATTTACGTTCAACAAAAGTGAACATATTCTTTTTTTGTAGCTTATAGGCTGTTAAAGAGCCTATGAATAACTTGAGTGATTTCACTTTTCCACTTTAAACTTAATGGTTTCTGACTGAAACCTGAATATGTACAGTCACAACATAAAACTTAAAAAGATTGATCTGCAACTGTGCAGAAATTCACTCCTATTTTAAAACCAAATGTTCAACGAATGTGTTCATTTGAAAACTTCTTATTTATTCTGAATCAACAATAATCTGGCAGAGTGTTTACTATAATAATGGCCACAAAATTTGAATAGTAAAACCTGTACAACCGATATGTTGTTGATTCTTTATATTACTGCCTTGTCATTGTTTACTTGACTTTTGTTTTTAAATACTGGCTTCTTTTTAACACAATTTCTAGAAGTGGACAATATTATGGACAGCCTGGACTTTTCAGAAGAGGAAATTCAAGAACAGCTGGCTGCCCTCGGCTACAAAAACATACCAAAACACAGGCTCATTGAATTCAAACAAGGTTAGACCGCTTTTTTTTTATGATCCTCTCCCTCTTTTTTCTGTGTTGTTTCATGTGTGATAATGCATAAAATGTAAACTTGCTAATTTTGTAAACTTGGTCATTTTTTCTCTGAAATGCACTCTGTTAATTCTCACTGTGGTTAAAAGCATCTACTGCAATCAGATATATAAAAGTTTTAGACTTTTAAATGGTTATCTTTCAAAAACCAAATTGCTGACTCCTTGTATGAAATTCTAATTTGATCCTCTCTGTCCTTCTGGGTGATGTCAGATCTCGATAAACTGATACAGGATGGAGAGTTGAAAAGTCTGGCCACAGCGACACACACCAGAGCTAAACCATCCACGTCAGAGCTAAGACATCATCTCCCTGCTTTTACCAAAGAAAAAGGTAAAAAACGTGTTCATTATTTTTCCCCCGCTACCCGGTTGGCATAGAAAAATGGATGGTTGGATGGTTACCATTTATTTTTGTTGGTTTCTGAGTTTTCCCTCTCATGTCCGCAGTCAGTCAGTGCTACATTAAAAGCAACGGTGAGGGGTTTTTCTTGCATCCTGGAAAAGGAGGCCACGACAGACAGGTAATACGGATCTTTTTTTTCACCTTTCTCTTTTCATATAGTGAGCTAGATGTAATGATCACAACAGCAGTTAAAAATCAGTGCAAGCACACATCAGTGCCTGATTACAGAACCTGTCATCAGACAAAGCACCCCAACTTAACAGATGAAGCCTCATTCTGTTAGAAAATCCCTTTTCTACATTTGAAAAAGGTCTTTACTGCAAAATGAGAACATAACATAACCCATACTTGATGCAGGATGCTTTTAAAAAAACATATTACTATCATATTATAAATCTGCTTTACATTAAAATATAATAAATGACAGATTGATAACATCCATAGATAAATTGTACATTTTGATGTCAGTAATTGATAAATGGCGTATGCTATGTTGAACCCAGCCGCTCGCCCCTAATGAGAACAGAAGTTATGGATGGCAGCAGACTCTCCGGGACGCCTATGCTTACCACTCGGTAGCACCCAGGCTGCAGCCCCCGCCGGAGGCCCCCAGCAGGCTGCAGGTGGAGGCAGATACTGACGACAGCCTGCCTTCACTCCTGTCCAACAGCGCCACCTCCTCCCCAGACACGCAGCAGAGGCGCTTCGTCAAAAGAAAAGTCCTCAGGTACATTTTGGTTCAGGGCAGTTTTTAACCAGCAGACTTTCAGTCATTTTGTGCGTTTAGCATTTAGTCTAATATGCCAACTGCTATAGATACTACATCTTTCAATCTTTTTCTGCGGCTAAACCAACTCTTCATCATAGAAAATAGAAATATTCACAAATATATTCATTTATTTACACATGTATGTGTATGTATGTATATATATATATAATCACGGTGCTTAACAGATTTATCAGACCATCTGATCTGTCTGAAAAAAAATATCAGTTAACTGTTTTTTAAAGTCACAATAAGAGGCAGCTAAAGGCTCCGTTTCCTCTCAGAATCAGTTTAAACTTATTCTCTCTGCTGTCAATAACAGCTTTTTTTTCTTCCTCTGCTTGTTTTTCTCTACTTTTCCTCTCAGAATCAGCTTAAATTTCATCTCTTTGCTCTTGATAACAGCTTCCATTCTTCCTCTGCTTGTCTTTCTCTACTTTCGGACGGTTTCTCTTGTTATTGAGTCCCACAGAGTTTCCAGCTGCCGGTGGACGTCTGCAGGCCTCAGTAACGGCTTCTCAGCTGCTCTCCTTCCATTTAAGCCTTCTTCCATCTGTCGCCCTGCAGACTTTCTCAAACTCTCCATCTCTGTAGATCAGCAGTGCTCTTCCTTCTGTCTATAATCCTTCAGATCTGCTTCACTAACTTTGGGTTTGCTGGCTCATGTTTGAAATGTGGCCCTCTGAAAACAGACTCCAAAGCACACGGAGGGCACCACACATTAACCAGCATTAAAAAAACATAAAATTATGATTCTAGTAACCATAAACGGTAGTCTAATATATATTGTTAAGCACCGTCTTAACATAGATGGATGGATTCCAGTGGGTAGTGCCCCGCAAGCCGTGTTGAGGTGAATCCTGTGGCGGTGGAGTCTTCAAATGACGAGAGAAAAAACAAAAACCTGTTGGGGAACACAACTTGAAACAGCCGCTGTGTGTGTGTCTCGTTGCCAGGAAACATAAAGGCCAGTCCCTTGTCTGTGATGAATCTTTCTACAGTGAAGACTCAGGTAAGGCAGACTGGACTGTCCAGACACCACTCCCAAATCTCTCTGTCATCTTCACTTTAAACCAAGACACAGCAGTTTAAACAAGTGTATGAATAAAGACAAAATTCCATGTTTTACAGTCACAATTTTACTATCCAGCATGAAGATTATTTGTTTAATTTTTAATACAACAAATACAGATATGTCAGAGTTTCTTTAATGTCTTTGTTGAATAAAAACTGAGCGGGCTATTTCAGTGTGGAGCAGAGGTCCAACAGTCCCTGAGGACATAATCCTCTTAGCTCCTGCTTTTAAGCCCCGGGACTGCGCCTCAGCTGCCGAACGAGCTGCAAACATGTACAAAATGTGCGATTCCCAGTGGGACGAAAACAGCAGCCAGGACGAGGATTCCCTCAATTCCTCCTTTTGGTCCGACGGGGAGAAACAAGACGAGGAGGAAGAGGAGGTAGAACTTGAGAGGGGGGCTGTCTCCGGACCTGCCGACGACCCGGACGGATCCTCTCACAAGACCTCAGACCAGCAAAAGACGGAGTTGGACAGCCTCTGGAGCGGAGCAGTTTTGGAGGACAGACATGAGGAGGATGAGGAGGGTGACGATAAAGAGATGACCAGCAGCAGCTCCGAGAGTCCGGCTCCAAGTCTGATGACGTCCGGCTACGGCACGTGCAGAGCAGAGGAGCAGGAGGGGGCCGACCACCGGGACGACCGCACCACAGCCGAGTTCGACCAGGACAGCCAGGGGGACCTGTCCGAGCTAAGAGACGAAGACGAGGAGGACCGCGGGTCCTTCGCGGGGGTCGGAGACACTCCGGCGTGCGTGTCGGACGCGGAGGGAGCCGATGGCCCGCCGGCCAAAGGCACAAAGCCAAAGGAGGGGAAGGAGACCCCAGAGAACACCGTCCTGTTGGCTGAGAGGCTTTCAAGAGAGGGGCTCCACCCTAAAGAGGACCAAAAACGGGAGGAGATTCAACATCTCCACGAGGTCCAGGATCCAGAGGAGTCTCCGATCTACACAAGCCCCACGTCCTCGGACTCCCGAACGGATTTCAGCAGGAAATATGAGGAGGGGGAGGGAAACCTGTGGCAGAAAAAGGGGGGCAAAGAGCTCCTGGAGAAAAGCTGTATGTGTGTATCTTTCTTTTTGTAGTGGAATCTCGCATCACATTCTAGTTCTTTAGTTCCCACATACACACACAGGTGCACAGCTCTGCTCTCCGCTCACCCGGTCAGCAGTCTGCTGACCGCCGATGCTTTGCCGCAGATGTGGCGAGCCGCCTGGAGGAGCAGCTGGCCGACCTCCAGCTGTCCACCTCAGCGCGGCGGCGCTTCCAGGAGGAGGACGACGCCGACGCCAGCACGGAGAGCGACACCCCCAGCTCCCAGACCGACGGCATCTCTCTGAGCGCCTTCGAATCCTACATCAGAGGCATGGTGGGTAGTGTCCGTCCACAGCCAGACGCCATCCCCCATTCCCCTCTATTGCGTTCAGACTCTGAACGAAACACGCCAGAATCGCTCTCGGTCTTTATCATTTTCGCTACAACTGAAAAACCCCCCTGTCCACTTTTCTTTTGCACAGACGGGGACTCGGAGTGACGGGGACGTCAGGCAGAAGCCCAAATCCTGTAAGTCAGCAGAAGAATTTTGTGGCTGTCGGTCTATATTTTCCCCCTGTGGCCTCACAGTGAACCACAAACCTGCGTTTTGATAGAGCTCAATAGCTTCGATCTGATTCAGACCTCATAGCTTTAGCTGGGAGAACCTCAGAGGACAACGTTCTACAGTTATGGTTAACAGAGGCAAAGAGCTTTTTGGGTTAACTCTGTTGAAACATATCACATTTTGAATATTACCATGATTTTAACCCCATTAAATGCCAGTTTGGTTACATGATGCTTATTTTTCTAACGAAAAGGCAAGTAATTTTCCATAGAACAAATATTGGTGGGGCTGTTTTTAAAAGTGTTCAGAATCAGCCAAGACACTGACTTTGATGCAGTATTATTCTAGTTGTGTAGCATTAATTTAATCATTTACAACCTTAATTTCTCATTTAAACCTTATTATACTTGGCGCTTTTATGAAATACGACTCATTTTCTCGTGTTGAATTTCCCAGAAAAATTGCGAAGTTTGTCATTTTTACTATTTGGATGGATGGATAAAACTGTTTGCTCATTTGCCAACGGTTTTGAGGTGATCGTGGGTTTAAACTCAGGGAAGCCTGCTGCCCAACATGGGGGGCGATTTGTGTCTTTTTCAGGTTCTTTCCATTTACCACTTACATCTGCCATTTCCCACATTATAGCCTGTAAATAATTAATCATTTAATTAGTTTTTATGCTCCCAAATACAAGGTTTGTCATAAGAGAGTTACCAAAAAACTGACATGTACACTAATGATGGCAGATGGAGAAGAGGAGGGCTAAAAGAGGGCTACCTTCTTGAATTTTACTTAACACGTTTATCTCATTTAGTACTTTACAGCTTTGATGTAACAGTTCTTTTTGTAATTCTTTACATTTTTACTAGAATTTTTACTATGATGGGTCAAATGAATTTGTGTTTCAGTTATTCGACCAGTGATGAGTCAACAGACCCTGAAGAAGACGGATCCAGTGGCAAAGTAAGTCCCTCTCTTAGGAAGACCTGCACATGAAGAAGATAAAACCCTCCTATGTTTCTGTTTGGGAGGATGTTCATTGCAAAAAAAAGCAGTACAGATAAGGCAGAATGCAGTTTGAGTCAATGCCATCATTACCCCAGACTTCAAGTTATTTATTTCTTCAAGAAAAGGCTGTGGAGTTTAAAGAGAACTTCCAGAATGAGAGCTGTCAGTGGGAATAACGTAAGGGATTGTAAAACTCCGCCTCCATCCAGAAAAAATTTATCAGAGAAAAGAGAAGCGAAAATAGAAAGTACAGATGAAATTTCCTCACACGTTTGTTTGACCCTGGATCAAACCGGATGATTAGGTGAGGTAGCACAAAGATGTCCTAATGGATTTAAGAGAACACCTTTTTAAACCTCTCAGCCTCACACTGTGAACACACACAGCAGTGTGTGATGGGGTCTCATCTCCGGGCTCCATGTCTCCGCCTCTTGGTGTATTGCCCCACTATGCTAATACCACCCAGGACCTCCTCAGCCACAGAATCAAGCCCAGTTCATGCTGAATCTCCAAAAAATGAAGTTTGGTTTGGGTTAGGTCAACCAGGGCTGCTCGTTGGAATTTTGACTTTGATTTTCTTCTTATTTCTCATCCCTGCAGGTATTTCCAGTACAAGCAGCTTTGGGACATGTTCAAACTTCCAGGAGAGGCAGACAGGAAAGCCCTGCGCTGGGAGATAAAGGTACAGAAAAAGTGTCTTCCTGTTGGGGCTGGGGAACAGGTGGGGCCGTAACGGCGTGTTGCCTATAGAAGCAAACGGCCACAGGGAGGGAGCGTTAGGCTAAACGTGGCTCCTCGTGAGGAACGGCACGGCTGGGCTAACGCCTTCGGTTTGGCTTACAGCACCTTTCACTGAATACAGTAGAACCTCTACATTCGTTACGGCACCTATTTCATATGTTAAAATATTCATATGTGGGTTCAAATATTCCCATCAGAATACACTAATTCCTATAATTCGTTCCACCTCCCAAAAACCTACGATAACTCCTTAATAAATACTGCAGATAATTACACAAACGCATTTTATAGGAGAGATGTAAAAAGAAATAAATTATAAAGAAATAATCAAGAAAAAGGGGGTTTTACTTTAAGAGACTGAAGAATGGAGGTAGAGGTGGAGACGAAGATATAGGACGTTACACATTTACTTATTTGACTTTCACTACTTGAAGTTTAAACTATCTTAACTTATTTATCTTTATATTTTATACATTTTTTTCCATGACTTCGTCATATTGGATATTTACTTCAGGTGTCGAGTCGAATGTATGTATGAAAATTTGTATGTTTAGGCATCGCAAGTAGAGGTTCTACTGTATTTTTTTTACCAGCATTTCCCTTTTAATTCTAGACTTTTTCTTTAAATATGTGAATGGTTCTGACTCAGTTCGGTTCTCTGTGATGGAGTCTGTTTTCTCCCTCTGTACGTGGCGCTTCTCTCTAGCTTCCTCCCACAGCTTAAAAACAAAGAAAAGCCGGTTGAGCTAACCGGTGTCTCAGAACTGACTCCATAAATGTTACTTTGACCAGTGACCGCTTAGAGAGGGTTCCAGTACTGACCTTTTCCTCCTTATGTTCTCAGGAGCGACTGGCCTACCAGCCCCCACCTGTAAGTGTCCTCGCTGCGTCTCAGAGGCGGGACCCCGGTCCCCCGCCAGTCCCCAGATGTTTTTTTATGGCCGTCGTTTGAACAGCTGGAGCAGCTGTTGTCCGTGATTTTAAAACGCCGACCAAAGCGTGGGCGTCCGACGGTGAGTTGTGAGCTGACCTCCCGCTCTGCTGTCTTTCAGCCCAAACCTCGGCGGGTGTACGTGCCCAACACCTACGTGGTGCCAACGGAGAAGAAGCGCTCGGCGCTGCGCTGGGAGGTCAGGAACGACCTGGCCAGCGGCCTCCCCCCACACAGATTCACATATCGCTTTTAGGCCTTTTTAACCTGTGGACGGCCTTTTTAGACACTTTTAATAAAATGTTCTTTTTTTTTTATGAGCGTTCTTATTTATTGACATTTTGCAGCTGTACATAATAAAACAGAGCCGTGGCTCACTGGTGGTCCGGCTCCCTCTGAGGGAGGTCGGCGTAGGGCAGCTTGAAGGGGTACAGGGGGGTGTAGCGCTGGTCGTGCCAGAGCAGCTTCTCCTCCAGGAACCCCAGCGTGTCCAGGGTGAGGACCACGGCCTCGTGCTTCAGCATGCTGTGAACGTTCAGACCTGACGGACGAAAGGAGGACGAACGCTCGGCTTCAGCTTTCCGGGATTAAAGGAATTCGAACGGGCCGAGCGGCGACTCACCGATGACGGGAATCAGGTTCACCGTCTTCAGGCTGGCCGTGGCCTGGAGGATGTTTTCGGAGAACTCGTCACCTCTGGAAGAGACATAATCTTTAGGTATGGATTCTCATGTATCCAAAACAGCTTGTAGAGAAGCAGACAGACTTCCGAAGATCTGGTGGCATATACTCACACGTCAACTATCAGGGCCGACTCTCCCCAGTGTCGGTGTCGGATGAGGTCCAGCAGGTACTGAGAGTCCGGCGTGGGGATGTCCAGGGAGTCCACGATATAGAGGTGGCCCTGCAGTAACACAAGGCATCCATTTTCCAACAGGAACATGACTTTGAGAAGGAGGGGCAGATTCTGTCGATTAGACCTGAACCATTTGGGGCTTTAACAGGAGATGGAGCTGCTCACAAAGCTTCATCCATTCTAAAATACCACACCTTGACTTGTTCCCTGCAGGGGATGAATTCAGGCTGAGGAAACTTACTTGGGCCATTTTGGAGCTCAGGGCGACTTTCAGTCCCAACACTCGGACTTTCATGGGCAACATGTAGTAATAACTGGTCGGCCCTCTGGGTCCATGAGAGACCCCACCTGAGAAGAGAAACACCACCAGAAGCAAGAGTTAGTGCCTTTCACATGAGTCCCTCCAGATCAGTTCATTAAAGGGGACGTATTGTGTGGAAGCCATTAGGGGCTTCGTATAAGCTGCTGATGGACCGACCCAGTGGTTCTTAACCTGTGTTCTACAAGCCCTAGGGGGTTCCCTGAGTCGGTCTCAGGGGTTCGGGGGAGCCTCTGCCGCGGAGGTAAAGGCACGGTGTAAAGGGACCCCCAGCTGGGCCATCATTGGCTGCAGAGGATGACCTTATATTGCTCGGCCAATCAGTCAACGGCTGTCGTAGTTGTACACCGTTTGGTTTCTTTCTTAATATTTGAATCTACAACTAAATACGTCGCGCAAAAAAAGTGGTCAGACAAATATGTACAACGTGGATTCACGGTTGTCTCAGGACACGAGTCAGCGTCTATATGAATAAACTAAAGGAAAACCTCTTATTCTGGCCCCAAAATAAGGATTTTGAGGATTCAAAACTACACAAAACAAATGAAATTTAAAATATATATTTTTTTAATTCTTTTAAAAAATCCAATTTTTTATTTATTAGTAAAATAGTGAAAAATATATTTTTTGGGGGCTAAAATTCTTTTATTGGGGTGAAATATTTTTTGGGGGGCCATAATAAAGTAATAGGGTCATTTGTTGTGAGTTCATGGACTGTGTTGGTTTTGTTCTCTGAGCAAGGTGATGTTCATTTACGGCTCATTTTGTAACCAGTAAAAAAAACATATACCTATGTCTTGAATTTCGAAAATAAAAAATCATAATACATTTATCACTAAAGGGTTCAGTGAATGCACATCTGAAACTGGAGGGTTCGGTTCCTCAGAAAAAAACACTGAAATAACAGAATCACTTCACCTCCTTTCCATATCGGTGACCGGATGCTTCCATGGCGAGCTCTTCCACTTCCTTTCTGTTTCCATGGTTTCCTGCCTCCGCCTCGGACCTCTGACCGGACCTTTGTGTTGGCGTGACTCTGAGGCATCCAGAGAACTGTTAGTCAAATGAATGCATGCTTCTTTTTCAGAAATACACATGAACTGAGACTCATTTTAATTCACAAACACCTAATTATCTCTATTGTAAAAAAGATTATGCTACTTTTGAAATCTGAGGCACTGTGACTTACGATCCTTTTGTAATTTCTCTGCCACGTTTCCACGCTGTGTAAAATATCGAGCCTGAGGGCGACAACAACCTCCAATTAGACGTTTCAGAGGGCGTTCTGCACCAGCCGCCGCGTGGAAAAAGGGCCCCGCTTTACCTGGGAGGCACCGCGAAGACGTCCGGATGGAGCTGAGCCAAACCCAGCGGCTGGCTGTCCGTGCCCTGCAGGCTCTCCACCCAGGCGTGCACGGGGCTCCGGTGGGCGGCGTCGCAACTCCTGAGCAGAGGCAGGGAGCAGTCGGCCGGAGGAGGAGGACGCTCTGGTAAACAACACCAACAACAAAAACACAACATAATACCCTGGACAAAACACACTTAACTCATTGACTGGCAGCCATTTTCAGATCAGAGTCCCATACTGCCAGAGTTTTTTGAGCATTTTGACTGATTTTTCAAGAGCCACAGAATCGTTTGTGCTATGACTATGTAAACACCGAACACACCAAAAGAAAGAGTAGACTCTTCTTTCATCAGGGACAAAAAAAAACATTTCTACCTTATTCCGTTCTTTAGTAATCAGCAGTAGAACATAGGTTGGTTTCAACAAAAACACCAGTTTTTGACCAATAAATGGAGAAAACAAGCTTTTTGTGAAAAGATACAGTTCAAGCAGAGAAGTGTCTTTGATGCTATTTTTGGGGCTTTAGTGACACCTCAAACATCTTAAAAGTTGTATCCTTCTATAAAACGGCAAAAACAACATCTAGAGATGGTTTTGAATTACAAAAAAATGTATTCAGAAATACATTTATGTAAATAGTTCTGAAACACGCCATGAGCTAGGCCTACTCTCTCCGCTTGCCCCGGGTTGATGTCCTTCATTTCCCACGATCGGGACACCAACCCAACTACTGCGATTGCGACACAAACCGGCGACATGTTCTCTCATAGCGAACTGTTACCTTTTTCTTATTTGCCTACAGTCTATGCTCATCTCCCATCAAAAGTGGCACTGCCACCTAGAGAGTCAATTTGTTACTACATACTCTGTCTAGAAGCCGATATTTACGGACAAGCTTTAGCAGATCGTCCCCCAGCCACTCTAGTTGAAAAACATAAAAGACGTCTATAGACGTCTTTGGCAGCCAATGAGTTAAAGACGGAAGCATATAAATATGTCATCATATCTGAATCCAATAAATACAAACGCATTGAGGTGGGTTGCTAAAAAAAAAAAGCAAAAGGCTAAACCATCATCATAAAAGAATATAAAGAGAGTGGTCTGAAGGACAGAATCCACACAAGCATTTCATTTAGAAAACTACTGCAGAAAAAATATAAATCTATAGATTATTTTCCCTGGCAACCATTTGATAGGTAGTTGATGGAAACCATTTGATTATTTGACCCCGAATAAGAAAAGATACACCCATATCTAACCCAACATGCTACCCAGATCCTGGTGCAGTCTGTTCAATCAGCCCAAAAAGTGTCACATCACCCCTCTGTCTGAGTTTCACTGGTTGCCCCCGGTTACCCGCATCCCACTCAAGTCCCTGATGCCTACAAAGTGCATAAGGGTACTACTAAGGGTCTACTTGAACCCTTTTGCAAAGGCCTATGTCACAACTCGGCCCCTCTGGTCATCAACGGATTGTGGTCTAGCAGTTAAAACAAACCAGACTGTTTTCATGTGTTGTTCCAAGATGGTGGAACGACCTACCAAGCGCTACAAGAACAGCAGGTCCTTTTCTATCTTTAGGAAACTCTTAAAGACCCAACTCTTTAAAGAGCATCTCTTATCCTGACTCTTACCCAGACCTCTGCACCCCTCTACTACTCTTTCTGCACCTTTTTCTCTCTTTGCTTCCACCACTGATTCTGACTGGGGATTTTCCTTTAGAGAACTTATTATCATATTGATGATAAGTATAAAATTGCATCTACTTTGTAAGTCGCTTTGGATAAAAGTGTCTGCTAAATGCATGAACATAAACATAAACAAAGCATGCCACAAGATTTAGGACAGAGGCCATGTTATCCCTCCATCCAGACAGTGCTTTGGAGGCTACTCTAAAGTAAAATTAAACTAAAACAAACTGGTGTAAAAAGCCCATAGAGCTACATATACTCAATGCAGGCGCTCTTACTTAGTTTGGCAGGATCAATGAGGTTGGAGGGCAGCAGTAAATTCGGGGGCAGGACGCCCTCACCAGCCACCGAAGAGCAGAACTGAGGAAGACAATTATACACATAAAAAATTAACCAGTTGGTTTTGAGCATAGTGCTTACAGTCACATACTAACATACAATATGTCAGACCAAAGCCAGATACACTCAGTTCATTAGGATAACAGGCACAGACAGGAGGTTCTTTAATCTTAGAGACTGAACCATAACATGCATATTTTGCCGATAAAGGCAAATCGATTGTGCACCTGTAGATTTTCAGTCCTCTCAGGGTGTGTGTTTGTGTGTGTGATCAAGCTTCATCTTTTTAAGAAGTCATAGCTTTTGCCCTGCTTCTCTGAGACAGGTCTACTTCCACCCAAATGGCTCATAGTTTATGTTCTTCACTTCTTTTACACTGAAGTTACAGGATTCACGGAATTTCCTTCATATAATGCAGTTTTTGGGGGGTTTCACAGCAGGACACTCCTTCCTGAATATGAACATATCTGAGTCTTAGCCTATGCCTGGCTTCTTTTCTATCTTTTCTATTGTGTTTAATACGTGTTCCCTTTTGCCGCGGGGCTTCTTTTCGGCCCGTGTTTCCATTTTGTTTGGGTCAAACTGCAAAACGAGACTAAACATTCACCTGCAGCCTAAATTTAAACAAAATATCTTGCCTACATGTGACGTGACCGCGAACGCAGCAAACAGAAGCGCAGGGAAACCGAATTACGGCGTTCAAAAGCCGTCACTCACCCTTTTGGCGAGTCCTCGGCCCAAAACTAAGACAGGAAGTCGGAGCATTTCTCTTTAGGTTTCTTCCACAGTCACACACACACAATAAATATTATCTCATAGTTGCCCGGCCGTCGGAGCCTTTCCGAAAAGGTCGTGGTGGATTCAGCGTATATGTCGCACATTGATGACGTGTGCAGAGCGCGGCGTCAGGTGGAGCGGCCCCTAATGAAAGCAACGCGTTATCCACTCGTCTATCTGAATACTGAAAACTTTATTTTTCAGACTTGTAAGCTGCAAAAATGAAAGCTGCTGCAATCTTTTTATAGAAATGATTTACTTCCCCAGCTTTACAAAAATAGGTGTGTTTAAGACTTATTTTAACACCAAAATAGGTGTGTTTATTTTGTGTTTTTACAACGAAATTAAATGTTTAGTTTGCACTTTTAACGTTTTTTATGCTTGGTTGTTTTAATAAAAAATTTTATTCACCAGTAAAATAATCAAACTGCCTTCTACCATCTACAAACGAACACGTTAGGTTAACTGAACTGATCATATGAATGATTGTGTATGGTTGTCTGTCTCTGTGTCACCCTGTGATGGACTCATGATAAACACTTTTATAAATTGAAGTTAATGTATTATAGATGAGCATATGAACTCAATTTTAAATCACTAATCCAACCAATAGTAAATCAAATCAAACACTTAAATATCTTATATTTGAAATAGTTTGGTATACAGAACAGTAACAATCATCAAACTGATAATTATACAAATGTTGAAGGTAATAGTAGAATAGAATAGAATATGATTTAATAGAATAGAATACTTTATTGATCCCACAGTGGGGAAATTTACAACCATTAAAAGGCAGAAACTCTTCAAGAAACTTAAGCATTAGCAGATTTTATTGACACTTTGGTTTGCAATAAAAAAAAACATTTAAAAACCTTGAGGTACATTTAGTAAAAAAAAACAATTCTTTACTTTGGTAGACAAGAGCAATAATACCATATTCCAATGAAAAAATAAGACTGTACCACAAGTATTAATGTAAGAAATAAAAATAAAAAAAAATTTGAAAAATATAATCAGGCAGACACTTTTCATTGATCGTCAACATACAAATGAGAATAAATAAGGCTGAAAAACAAAAACACAAAGAGAAACATGAGTGTTCTGTGGACTACACAAGATTAGACAAAAAGAATGTTGTTCCTTTAAGATCATTTTCACCTGGAACTTCCAGGTCCAAATTATTTGGATGAAAGTCCAATCTGCCAAGAGTGTTAGACTTTCTATTTGGCATTTTGGTATTTTGTGTTTGAGTTGGGAAAACAGTTACATAGTAGCCATCTGAGCTGTCAGGTGCTTTTGTTCTTGATTGTTGTGATAAACTCGGCATGTGCACTTTGTTAGTAGTTTGCATTCTCAGAGAATTGTTGGTGTCCCTCATGTCATGGCCAACCAGAGAAGGTGCCTTGAGGTCCAAAGTTGAACCTCTGGCTCTAAGAACATGATCTTTTCCTGTGAAATCATCAATGTTGAGGTCTGACCGATGGAAGTCAACCTCATGCCTTAAAGCATCGACCCCAGCAGGATAGCTGGACCTTACTTTGCTTCCTGGGGACTTTCTGTTGTGACGAAGCCTCACATTTTGATCTATGTCCAGGTCAGGAGCTTTGATTCTCACGCTTGCCATATCTGATCTCTGATTCTTGTAAGAAGGTTTTTTCAACTTCATGGAAGGATCATCCATGTTGAAATTGGTGGATTTGAGATGCAAATGAGGACTGTTTGTTGTAGCTTTGGGCATTTTCAGGTCCAAGTTTGGAATGCTTACATTTGAACTTGATTTTGGAGGAGAAACATCTAAATTTTTTGGTCTCAGAGATGAACCAAAGTCAATATCCGACCCCAAACTATTTACATCTGGGCCTCCAAATTGAGGCAACTTGACAGATGGAAATTTGTATTTTTTGTCTGGCAGATCAAGCTCGGTTTGAGAAGCATTGATCCCCATGTTGGGTATATCAGGAACCTTCCCCTTAAGCCCTTTAAGGTCCCCTTTTATGTCAGCATTAAGGCCTTTGGGCTTTTTGACTGTGGGCATTTTAAAATTTGCATCAGGAGATGCTTGGAGATTCACACCTGGAGCTTTTAGGTCAGAGTTCATTTTCAAATCCAATCCTTTTGGTAATTTGGAATTAAGATTTGGAGAATCAAGATCTGGGCCAGAAAATCCTACATCAGGAATTTTTGGATGTGCCATTTTAAATTTTCCCTTTGGGCTGCCAAAATCGACATCTGGAACTTCAAAGTCAGTTCTGCCCTTCCCTTTTAAACGCAGGTTTGGGGAATCAAATCCACCTTTCATCTTTGCAAGACTGGGATCAAAATCTGGAGCTTTCAGGTCTGAATTTAATTTAAGATTTGATCCTTTTGGCAATTTGACATGGGGGTCTGCTGAGTTGAGGTCAAAGTCTGGGGCATGTAGTTTTGGACTCGAAAACCCCACATCGGGTATTTTCAAATTTGGCATTTTACGTTTTCCTGATGGGCTGCCGAAATCAACATCAGGGACTTCAAAACCAGGTTTAGAGCTCTTTAGGTTGATATCTGGCATGCTGATGTTACCGTCTGGCCCATCAAAATTGCCACTAAGTACAGGTCCTTTTGAACCTGGCATTTTCATTTTGGGGAATTTCATCTTTGTTTTTGGTGAACCAATGCTGACATCTGGACTGTTAATGTCTAGCTTTGGAGCTTTCAAGTCCATATTTGGCAAGTCCAGGTCAGGGGCATTGATCTTTGGAGCTTTCAGGCTCCAATCTGGGGACTTCAGGTCTGCATTTAGGTCCACATTTGGTCCTTTTGGCAATGTACCAGAAAGGTTTAATTTTGGCATTTTAAATTTGCCTGATGGAGCCTTCAGATCCCAGTCTGGAGCTTCAAGTTTTGGCATTTTCATTTTTCCAGATGGCATGTCAAAGTTGACATCTGGGGCATTCAGGTCCAGTTTGGGAGTTTTAAAGTCGGCTTTGGGCATATTCAAGTCTGGTGCATTTATTCCACCCCTAAGATTTGGACCAGAGATATCCACGTCAGTTGGACTCAGGTCCAAGTTAGGGCCATCTAGCTTTGGGCCAGAAAGTCCCAAGTCAGGCAAGTTCAAATTAGGCTTTCTGAATTTCCCAGATGGGCCAGAAATATCCATATCTACATCAGCTTTGGGACCTTTGAAGTTGAAGTTGGGGGCTTTTACATCCATATCAGGTTTATCTAAACTGGCGTCCATTTTAGGTCCTTTAAGGTGTGGGAAGTTGAATTTGGGCATTTTCATTTTGGGGAATTTCATCTTTGTTTTTGGTGAACCAATGCTAACATCTGGACTGTTAATGTCTAGTTTTGGAGCTTTCAAGTCCATATCTGGCAAGTCCAGGTCAGGGGCATTGATTCCACCCTTCATCTTTGGAGTTTTCAGG